TTTTCTACTGCTTTTTAGGAGACACCTGCATGACAGGTAGAGGCTTTAGAGATGAGTCGTGTTCTCGTGGTCTTAGCACAGTCACAGTAGAAAATGTCCGCTTTGCGTCATCGATCAACACCCCGCCCTTCCTCCCTCTTGCCCTGCCTGCATCCAACTGGTACAGTCATCTTAACACTAACCCAAGCTGAGATGTCTCTAACAACACATTCCTCACTCTCACGGTGGAACCAAGTCTGTTTTATTTCCTTACATTGCCTTTATGAGTCATGATTATCAGTTTACTGAGATATACACGTGGTGATTTGACATTTGTGGTGTGAGTGTGCAGATTTAAGTTAATGTCTGTTGTTTTGAATTATTCCTCCTATGTGTTTGTGTGTGAGTGTGTGTGAGGATTTTTTGAACCATGTTTTCTTTCTGTTGTTGATCGTCCATGTTTTGAAGAATCATGCTCTAGAGAATAATTCTGAATATATCTGCTATGCTTGTCAAATTATTCCTGTCACAGAGTGTATACATTAAATTCCCTTCTACTGTCAATCCGCCAATAAACTATTTGCACACCGTTCTCGTCTCCTCTCTGTTAAAGTCTAAATGTAGGTTATCCCACCCTTGACAGTGAATGTCTTCATATGTAATACAGTCCATACTATATTAACTAGATGGTGTCAGAAGTACAGAGGTTACTGACGGAGTTCTGATTATACTGCATTTCTGACAGAATGAGTTGACATATTTTAACAGCCTTTGAGTACGTCAAGGTTACATAACTAAGTAGGTGACTACCCCGCAGTCCAAGACCCTCAGTGGCCTCAAAAGACCTAAGGTGGAAGAAGTACTCCGATCCCTAAATAAAAGTAGCAGTACCACAGCCTGGTCAGCCTAATGTTTTAAAGCAGCTGTGCGGAACTTTTCGTTTTCGTTGATTATAGCGCCCCTTTGGTCGAAGGGGTATGACACCCACAGCCTGGTGTCGTAAAATTCCAACTGCAGCTGGCAATTACCACATGCATTTGTTTTGGAGAGCGAGAGGATTAACTAACGTCAGGTTAGTCCAAGTAATTAGTGGAAACAGCAAAATTACTCAGTAAATTCTCCTGTCATGTTTCTGTTCTGATCTAATCTGTTGTGTATTTTGAGCTACTAAGGCTACCGTAGTAGTGTGAGCCTCAAGTTATTCTGGGTAATGTAGTAACCGTTGTGCTACTGTAAACGGGAACTGCCCATTGATTCGACTGCCCATTGGTTTGACATCCCATTGTTCCGACCATATTAAACTCATTGTTTCGAAGTCCAGTGTGATTGTGTTCATGTGGCTTGACTCCTGGCTACATTAGCCGTTAGCTTGGAGAAAATGGTCCCTATGAAAGTGTATCGCTGAGAAGAAATGATTTGAATCACTCAGGGAATCGGGGTTACGTCGTTCACCGAGTGATTCGTTCACCAAATGATTCATCACGCAGTAGACAGTCCCTCCTTGCACCCTGGCTGCCTCTCGACTCACGAGTGATTCATCATTCACACGGATCAAATCGGCAGTTCCTCTCCCGGACTACACACTCACTGCTGAGCTCAACTGAACTGAGAAATGAACGAATCAGTTCCAGAAGTGATTCAGTTCAGTATGTTCACTCAACAGATTCGTTCTTTTGAATGATTTGTTCGCGCACGACACAACACTCCTGTCAAAGTCTTATTTTTTTTTATGCTTACACGCTGGCGATAGCTGCAGCCAGAAGCATTATGTTTTCAAGTTGTCTGCCTGTCCGTCCCATTCTCGAAAACATGCTATCTCAAGAAGGCCTTGAGGATTTTTTTTAAAATATGGCAAAAAACTCCCATTGTACCCAAGGAGGAAATAAGATTTTGGTGGTCAAACGTCAAGTTCCCCATGAACTTGCATCTGTTTCATTCTTGTGAACATCTCAAAAACACCTCGAGGGAATTTCTTCAAATTTGGCATAAATGTCTCCACCTGGACCCAAGGATGACTGATGATGATCCTGATTAGATTTTGGTGGTTAAAGGCAGTAACATAAGGAAGTTACAACAGGACTCAATAAGCACTATCATGACGGGCCCTAGTGCACGCTATCGTGAATGCATTGTCTTGACACAAAAAGCGACTTGTCATTGGATAGCAACATATTACCCAGCAATCATCTGACAAAAATATCAGAGAAAATTAATCATTTAATTGGATAGTTTTTATAGTTAATTTATAAATTGTATAGCTTATGTAGAAAAGGCATATAATTTTGTTTTAAATAGCTACTGAATATTTTTTTTAACATTGAAATTAAAAAAAAAGTAAACAATGACGCAGATGGGTATTCCTTTTAAAGGACATATATAGGCACCATTTTGAAATCAGGAACATTTCTTTTTTAATCATTCCTCTTTAAACACAGGAATATTATCACGTAGTGTTGTGTCGTTCGCGAATCTGTTGAGTGAACATACTGAACTGAGTCACTTCCGGAGCCGATTCATTCATTTCTCAGTTCAGTTGAGCTCAGAAGCGAGCGTGCAGGCCGGGAGTGGAACTGCCCATTGGGTCCGTGTGAACAATGAATCACTTGGGAGTCGCGAGGCAGCCAGGGTGCAGGGAGGGACTGCCTACTGCGTGACGAATCACTCAGTGAACGAATCACTCGGTGAACAAATCACTCGGTGAACGACGTAACCCCGACCCTGAGTGATTCAAATCATTTCTTCTCAGCGATACACTTTCATAGGGACCATTTTCTCCAAGCTAACGGCTAATGTAGCCAGGAGTCAAGCCACATGAACACAATCACACACCTCCCCATTGTTTTAACAGACTTAGTTTCCAGATAAACAAACTTAAAATGTTAGGCTGCAGCAGCAGCAGCTCAGCCATGTATCAGCTCAGTGAGTCGGACTACGCAGCACAGTCAGGGGTCCTCCTGCCAAGCACTGAATGATTCGATGAATGAATCTTTTGAACGAATCTTATTAATGAACTGATTCTAGTGTTTTATCAAGGTAGCAATCTGAATCACTTGCAAGGGCCCACTCTCTCTGTGGGATGGGTCCAACATACACCGACATTCACCCAGGAGAGTGGTGTAGTCAAACCCTGTCAATATCGCGACATGAATTGACTTTGTTTTTCCTCCAACAACTAAAGCACATGGTTAGGTTTAGCCAACAAAAGCCTCAACCTAACCACATGGTTTTGTTGAAAAAAAAAGTCAATTTGTGTTGTTGTATTGATGTAGTGCATTTATTTTGAAAGACACAGTATGTAAGTGGTATCCTGTGAAAGAAGACAACGCATATAACAGGCAGAACTTGACACGGCGTCCTAGAACGTCAACAACCAAGACACCCAGGGTACCTCGCATTGTATCTGGACATGGAAAATCCATGACCAAACATCAATATGTGATGAGGTTGGAATGTGTTGTCTATCCAAGGGTAACAAAATCCACCACCCAGCCCCTTTAAAGCTCACAAATAACAGGTTATGTACATTATGTCCTTTGTTGAATCCAAACGAAAACCCTGTCTCAAATGTTTCCTTTAAAGGGAAATTTCGGTTTATTTCAACCTGTCTCCTATCGTCCTAAATTTGTTTCAAGTGACTAGTGACATAAAAATAATAGTTAGCATGTTAGCCATTAGCCTAGATACAGCCGGGGCGCATAGTAGCGTCAGACCTGTTAAAACGTAAGTGAACGGGCAACCTTCAAGTGCAAAGTTAGTCCACTAAACAAGCTTTTTTTCCACAAAGACCGCCTCATATCGTTAGGATAAATGTCAGAGAACATACAGAAAACGACATGTAAACGTGTTGTCTTACCTTACCGGTGTGCTGCTATGTTTGTTTACCATTTAGCTCTGCTTTCCAAAGTGCGGCCGAAATATCGCGAGAACAAGTAGCGATCTCATACTTTGCCTGAAATCTCACGAGAACAAGCAGCAACAGCTGGAAGGCAGAACCGGACAGTAGCCTGAAAAGTTCATTCATTTAATTTATGAAAGATTTATAGAATAATGGCTGACTTTTTGCCAGACTTCGACTTTGTGGAGGAGGAATTTGATTTTGCAGAGTTTGATGGCCGCTCTTATTTATTTGAGCCAGAATACACTGATGAAGAGTTTTGTGAAATTGAAGAACGGAGGAGAGAGAGAGAGGCGCAACAGGTAGAGGACGAGAGAGGAGGAATGGCTGCTGCAAGGCTGCGTAGCTCTGGAGATTGGTGGTGTACCTGTGAATGCTGTGCCCCAGTGCCCACAGAAGAGGAATGCTTCTGTTGCAAGGAATGGGACCGGTTGCAGCCTTATTTTCAAGGTCTGGATGTGACCGAGGACGAGACACCTCCACCTGGAGTAGTATCCAGCTGGGCTTTATCTAGAGCTGGCGAGATATATTTCGGCCGCGCTTTGGAAAGCAGAGCTAAATGGTAAACAAACATGGCAGCACACCGGTAAGGTAAGACAACACATTTACATGTCGTTTTCTGTATGTTCTCTGACATTTATCCTAACTATATGAGGCGGTCTTTGTGGAAAAAAAGCTTGTTTAGTGGACTAACTTTGCACTTGAAGGATGCCCGTTCACTTACGTTTTAACAGGTCTGACGCTACTATATAAGCCCCGGCTGTATCTAGGCTAACGGCTAACATGCTAACTCTTATTTTTATGTCACTAGTCACTTGAAACAAATTTAGGACGATAGGAGACAGGTTGAAATAAACTGAAATTTCCCTTTAAGGTTGTATGTGGGGGCCAAGAGGGGCCCAGCAGCAGATTTTTGTGCTCCTGTGGGTTTTCCGGCCATGTTATAATAAATAAGATTTTGTGGTCAAACTGGCTAAACTATAATGCTTCCCACATTTGAGTTGCATGTATTTTAAATTGCGTGTGAATACAGTATGTGTTGCATAAAGTGTGTCTCGCATAAAGGGAGGCAAGTTAATGAAAAGCAGCACATGTGATCTGCAGCCTGCACCGACCTGTCACCTACAGAAGCAGGAAGTGTTCCTCCCACTTTCTGTTTGTACACACATGAAGTAGTTCGTCTCGACAAGTCTCCATGTAGCTTATATAAACTTTAAATATAAAGAAAAGCGGTGGAGCGGATTAATTTGGAGTTTAAAGTGAGGTAAGTGCTGATTTCAGTCCTTCCTGTCAGCTGCTGTAATGCGTGAAAGACTCTCCCCCGCATGTTGTGCGTGTTTTACTGGAACAGACAGCTGCATGAGAGCAACAAGGAAACTGATGAAGCCAACAAAACATGTCCTGCAAGTTTATTTAGAGCAACATGGGGTCTGATTTTAGTGATAAACTGAATCCTTTGTGAGCTCAGTTTCCTAAACAATGTCTTAAAATGTGAGAAATGAAAGTTATAAATGTAATTTAACGGTAAATAAGTGCGTCACAAAATTCAAAAGGGCAGCATTAAGAGCCTGATATACTCTCACATTAATATTTTATACACAGAATAATAAGAGGAGGAAGTAATCTGATTATTTAGCCTATTTATGTACAAGTGTCAATACTGCAATATACATACACAGCATTACAAGTAAAAATCCTGCATTGGAAATGTCACTGTATTACTCATTAAACCTCTGTTAGTATCACACTGTTATATATCATATTATTGGATTATTGTTATTGTTAGTGATGCATTCACATGTAAGCGTTTTACTGTTGTAGTTGGTTGAGGTGGAGCTAATTTCAACTATTGTATGTGCTGTTGGGCAGTTTAATCAAAAATAATGCATCATATTTTATTAGTTTTGTTTGTAAACTAGAAACTACAGTGTCAAATAAATGTAGTTGAGTAAAAGAATGTACATATTTTAAATATTTTTCTCTGATTTGTAGTCAGGTAGTAGTATAAAGTAAATATATTTAGTTAAATTCCACCACAGCAGATTAATGATCAAACTTAGACATTTTAAACATTGTTTTCATTAGTTTGTGACGTCTAACCAGAGAAACACATCCTCATATCTGACCTATAATCCACTTACATAACATTTTTTTCCATTATGCAGCAGGATATATCTGCAGTTTGTGTCGTCAGTCACTGATCATCCTGATTTTTCTTTTTTTTATTCAGTCTTAAAATGTGAGAATCGAAAGTTATAACTCTTATTTAACTGTATCTGTGTTTGAGATATAAAAATAAATGTGCCACAAAACGCAAAGGGCAGCATTAAGAGCCTGATGTACTCTGAAATTAATATTTTATACACTACAGAGGAGGAAGTACTCAGATTATTTAGCATATTTATACAGAAGTGTCAATACAGCAACATTACAAGTAAACATCCTGCACTGGAAATGTCACTGTATTAGTAATAAGGTGGACAATGCCTTTGTATGTATCGTACTGTTGTATATAATATTATTTTATTATAATTATTACTGATGCATTAATGTTTAAGTGTTTTACTGTTGTAGTTAAACCAGAAACTACTGTTGTAATTCAGTCTAGCTTGGAAATGACGAACGAACGTGACTTTACTGAACATGAAACAAAGGTACATTCCATCTCGTGAACGCAAGTACGACTTGTTTGCTAAACTTAAAAACCTTTTTTCTCCTCTTTTCCTTACGTATTATGGGTAGCAAAGGATTATGGGTAATGAAGTCTGTCAACACAAATACAAAGTAACTGCAGCCTGATTCCTATTACTACTTCTTCTTTACAGTCCATAAATGAACTTTAATGTAATGTCCTTTAACTTGTTTCCCATATAAGAATATAAATATTTTAAATATTTTCCCCTGTAGTCCAGTAGAAGTATATTTGCTTGATTGATTGATTTTTATTTGTCATGCACACTTGGACGCTCTTTAACTGCTCAGTCCAGACACGGAGTACTCTGCCCTCAATCTCAGGCCTGGCAAAGAAATTCAGCCACAAAAAGGTTTCCTTTCTGACTCAAAACTTCAGTTTCTCATGATCATCCAGCCAAAAGATATCAACGCAGATAGAGATCATCTCACTGCAAAGTACATTCCTCATGTCTTCATAAGGAATGCTGCTCTGCTTCCCCGTCACAGCACAAGACAGCAACACATCACTTAATCAATTTCATGTGCACCTATCCCTGCACCACCTTAGAAAAACAATTCTGGTCAGAGATCAATTTGTCACACTTACACTAAGATCTGTAACAAGATCCCGTACAACATTAGAGCATTAACCTCTATTACACATTTCATATATGGGCCATTCTACCGAATTGGTGCAAACTGCTGTCCCCAAACAAAAAATCAAATTTAAAAAACATTTAAGTATGTAAATTTTACATGTTTAATAAGATCTTGCAGTTATCTATTGAAACACCAAATGATATTTAAGATATCAGTATGCTTAATATATATAAAATCATCATTTATAGGGTACTTTACATTGTGAGGTGGCTGTCCCCAACCCCAACTCCTAAATTTCAATTCATGAAAATGATAGTGAAATGATTTTTATAAAATGTTCTTTTGTTCTTTTTAGAAGGGTCTTTTTGATTTATTTGAAATGGAAGTGTAAAAAAGTAGATTGATTTTATATATTTTTTGTAAATCATGAAAATGTGTGTAAAAAATCTTGTCCCTCATTTTCTTGTCACTACCGAAACATTGTAGGTTTTAGTCCATAGGCTAAGACTGATTTAAGCCACACCTCTAATTTTTTTATCAGGAAGTATTCCTTTGTCCCTCTCATGTTTTGGCTGCATGGTGAGTAGCTAGGTCTCATCATTTTGAAGAAAAGGTGTTCAAAAGTCTGAAAATCAGTGTGTAACTTTAAGAGACGTCACTACCGAACACCTATTTACTGCACTTAAACAAACTTTTTTTGGTTTTATGGCAGAAAAAATAGTTTTTATGTGTGTGCAATAGTTCAGAAAACTGCTAGCTAACCATGTGCTGATCAGCCTCTTTAAGCTAGGCTAGCTAGTTATCTAAAATTGTCACTACCGAAACAGTCACTACCGAAACGGTGTAATCTGAAATTCAAGCACTGTTATGTCATTTTCAGATATTTAATGTCAGATGTGTGTCTGATATACATGTGTTCAACATTTATGAGTTATTAGTTATATTTATTGACATAAAATGATGACAGTCTTATTCAGCCGTGACAAACAATATATTGTGGTCACTACCGAAACGGTATTGTCACTACTGAAAATGTGCCGTCACTACCGAAACATGTGATGTTTTGTCAAAAATAAAGTATATTGAATTATGAACTAAGATATTGTGATGGTCTTTGGTTCAATGTGTATTAAAACTAATGAATCCTAAAGTTTGTAATCATTATGAACAACTTTATGCCCTTTTCAAAGAAAAATTGGATTCAAAATCCAATGATTCTGATAAATAATGGTTAAAAAATTTGTTAAAATTATATAGTTTTCAATTTACCTGTGAATTTTGAAAAATGAAATTTCAAAAAAATATATTTACAAGGTAGATATAAACAAAATTTTTATAGATTAATATAACCATTTATTTCATGTGATATTTCATTGTGTTTCGGTAGTGACAAATTTTGGGAGAGGAAAAATATTCCAAAACTGTATGAAAATACAAAATGAGAATTAACTGTACAACTACTAGAAATGTGTACCTTGGATATTATACAACTAACATACATGAAAAGTTTTGGGGAAAATACACATTTATTTCAAGATGTTTCCAACTCTGACTTTGCACCAATTCTGTAGAATGGCCCATATATCCCATTTTGTCCACTTCACTTCTGTCCTCCATTCTGCACTGTCTGTGTAGCTGCCTATGTTTTGTTGTTTTGCCTCTGTTGATTGTTTCTGTTTTTATTCTGCATTGTAATATGATTTTGTTGCAAAACAGGAACTGGATGAAAAACAGTTTTTAACTGAGTCAGGCCAGCTTTAACTGTAACACACAATTTCACTTATAAATCCTTTCCTGTACAAATAAAATAATTGAAATGAAAATATACAGGACAGCAAACCAAGAAACGAACCCCATTCTCACAACATTACACAACAAACAAATTCTGTCCTCCTCTGGGGCGACATTAAACCTCCCAGTATCTACAGCTGATGGTAACGTTCCTGAGCGCAGCTGTGCACACAGGGATCTTTGCCTTTTGTTAAGATTATACTTCATATAAGTTTCCACACTGAAACTATTTTTTATGATACAATAAGTGTGTAGTTTTGGTTTACACCATATATCTCTAAACATGCCAAACATTTCACCCCTAATCTCCTGAATATCACGAAATAACCTGTTCTTAAAAATAAATGACAAGTATAAAGCAAATATATTTAGTTACCTCCCACCACTGCAGAATATTGATCAAACTTAGACATTTTGATCATTGTTTTCATTAGTTTGTCACCTCTAAAGCTGAGAAAAACATCCTCATACTTGACATGTAATCCAGTTACGTAATCCTTTTTTCCACTATGTAGGAGAATATATTTGGAGTTTGTACAGTCAGTAACTGGTCATCCTGATTTTTTAGTTTTACTACAGGATAAGTGCTTCTTCATGTTGGAAGAATCATAAAATGTGCCACATTTTCAGACAGAAATTATACTTTAAAGTGAAAAAGGTCGTGTCCCCAGTGTTTTTATGATGCAGACACTGTCTAGAAAGTCAATTGTACTGCTTATATTTTACATTAACAACAAGGTTAATTTTATCCAAATTTCGACACTATATCCTTCATATATGTATGAACTATAGCCGATTGTGTAGCTGCAGTTGACTAAATAAGAAATAAACTAGCAGTAATTCCACTGTATTTATGACTAGGTTGCTGAGAAATGTAGTTTTTTAAGTGTTTTACCAGCTTCAGCTTAGGTTTCACAAGTGATGCACATTGTGAAAGCAAAATGATTCAGTGCTTTGATGAATAATCTCAAACTCCAGTGAAATTCAGGAACATTACAGTGGTAATTATGACATCATTGCAACAAAATGCTGCTAGAAACCCTGCACATATCTGTTCTATCCAAGACGGGACAATTTAATCCATTTAATGCTACTTAACAATTCTACTTCACTACATTTCAGAGGGAAATATTACCCTTTAACTGCACTACATTTTGTGACACTTATAATTACTTTTTACTTAGAAACATAAACAGAGATATAGGCAACTTATTTTACTGCAGTACTACCCAGTAGTATGCAAAGTATCTAAAACTGGCTCCAGATTGATGAACTACAGCATTAAAATGTTATTATATGTATGGTATACATTAGTAATAAAAATAGAATAATATAATAATCGACAACACTGCATAATGAGTACTTTTACTTTTATAATGTAAAACTTTAATTGTTATTGTATGAAAATTAGGCTTTGAATTACATCAGTTACAAATAATTCATCTGATCTAGCTCTGACAGACAGCACATCAGAGAGAGTTATGACACTCGTTTTACAGCACCCAGTATACCGACACAACACCACTTTATCCTTAAAACAGTACTCACAACTTGGATTAATTTTTACGAAAAACCCTTTTGATTATTTTGATCTGAGGACACTTACAGACTAAAGGAATAACTAATGATAAACGATAACTTAACGATTGAATTATGGAGAATCGAATCAAGCTAACGATGTGTAGCATCTCCATACTGGCAAAAGTTTAAACATTTATATTTGTTTGTATGATCTGAGCCAGTGGTTCCCAACAGGTGGGTCATGGTACAAAAGTGGGTTGCAGGTCACAGAACTAATGAGTAAGGGAGAAATTTGGACCTCGTGGCTGGACCAGTTGCGAACCACTGCTAACGTTAGCTTAAGTGTGTAGCCAAAAAACTTCTATAAAAATGAACTGTTTGGCAACCAGGCCAGGCCTCTAATTGAGACAGGCCTTTATTCGTCAAAATGTGCTGCTACACTGGGCTAGTAAAAAGGACTGGGCGCTTAATTGAAGTTTTACGGTACTTACATTTTACTGATAATACTTGTGTACTTTTGTTTGTAACCTTTGAAGTCAGGACTTCTATTTGTAGCAGTATTTTTTAGACTCGGTTGTTTAAAGTTTTACGTAAGTAAAAACAGTCATGCTTAGTGCTAACAGTATTCCAGGGTTATGTCAAGTTGAATTGGCATCATAAAATATTGTAAATGGGGCTGTTTTTTGTCACTCTCACACTGCGGACTCTGCTGACATCCTGACATGTGGCCAAGAATCAGCTTTATTGGCCATTTAAAGATTGTTATAGAGAAATTATGTCTACTGTAGTTTCTTCTTCTACTTTTTCTGGCGGTTGGCAACCAGCTTGTAAATGCATTACCTCCTTCCTTACCCTGAGTGTGGATATCACCATGGAGAGAGGTGCGCTACGTCAGACTTAATTCGAACATAACTGTTTCCATCCCCCGTTTTGCGAATCAACATTTTTTCTAATCAACCAAAACCCGGCTAAAGCGAGCGTATTTTAGTTTGTGCGAATCAGGGGATTTTAATTCGAATTTTGGCGTTTCCATCATAATTTTCCGATGCAATACTTTTTGATGCGCATCTAAACGGGCTGATGGAAACATGGCTATTGTCACCTCACAGTAAGAGGGTTCCTGGTTCCAAGGGAACCCAGGGTAAGGGGCTCCAACCCTGGGGTTGTGGGTCCCTGTGTCAGCGTGGGTTTTCTTCAGGTACTCCAGCTTCCTCCCACAGTCCAAAGACATGCAGGTTAATTGGTGACTCTAAATTGTCCGTAGGTGTGAATGTGAGTGTGAATGGTGTCTGTCTCTATGTGTCAGCCCTGTGATAGTCTGGTGACCTGTCCAGGGTGTACCCTGCCTCTCTCCCAGTGTGAGCTGGGATAGGCTCCAGCCCCCTCCCCGACCCCTAACAGGATAAGCCGTTATGGAAAATGAATCTAAAATGAATGTACAACTACAGACATACATAGGCTTTGCTAATTAGACAGCTCAAAGTGAAAAATGATAGCCATGTCTGTTCCCTGTTCTCCCACATAAAACACGTTCTTCATATGACAAGCAGGAGCCAGTAGGTACTTTTTGGTTAATGGCTAAGGCTAAGTCACAGGTTTGTGAGGAAGGCCGGCTTTATAGGTCACTGCACAATACTCTGCTAGCTCTCCAGAGCAACTCAGCAAAGACCATGACGAGAACATTTTCTTTACTGCTGCAGTAGGTCTGCACACTGTAATTACTGTTTGATTAGTGTGAGTTTTAGGTGGATATTCCAGAAATTTTTGTCTCTTGTTTTTCTTCTTTAGACTGGATTTCTTTCTTTCGCTGAAGTGAAATGGTTACACCGGTGAAAATCAGCAAAGACACAGAAGAGCTGGATCCGACAAAAGGGATGGAGAGGGCAAGGACACTGAGGCACTTCCCTCCGTACGGATCCATGAATGGAGACACCTGCCCCACATGTCGTGGCACCGGACGAATTCCCAGAGGTTGGTTTTCTGTCCACTTTCACAATTCTGACTGAATTCTAAGCAACTTCAGTGCCTTAACAAACTGAGACCCTCATCCTCAAATAGCTGCAATTAAGGGAACTTAGGCAACCCGAAAGTCACAGCTGTGTCAAGTGCAGCAGCTTTTGTTTAGCCACACTTTCACATCATTTTTGTGGTAATAAGGCGTCTGAAAGAGATTATTTCCCTGTTTCTTTCTTGTACTGACAGGCCATGAGGACCAGCTTGTTGCTGTAATACCATGTAATGATGTGAGGCTGAAACCCAGACGCACGTAAGTGATGTATGATTAAATGTCATTTGATAAAAAAAAGATTTTGTATACACAGTATTAGTCTGACTATGTTTATGTCTCTTGCACACGTAGAGATGTTCGTTAAGGTTGCACCATGTCATTTACTGTTTTGGGTGTTTGCATTTCAGGAAGCTGTACGTTTGCATCTCCATGGCAGTGTGTCTCTTCCTTTGCTGTCTGATCCTCTTCTTCCTCTTCCCCCGGAGTGTCACCCTGACACCTGTGTCTGTGCTGTCAGTCATGGTTTACTTCACACCAGATACAGTTGAAATGAAGGTCACAGTAAGTAACAGGAAGCCGCATGAAGAGTGGAGCCAGTTACAATCAAGTCTGTGCCACCTCTTCTGGCAAGTCTTTAATATTTAATTAGTAGGGCTGACAAGTACTGATTTAGTTTTTACAATTAATGACTTTTGACATTTTAAAAATGTCATTTTGACCATTTATCTGTAAAACAGCGTTGACATGTTGCAAATATACCTCTGTTGTATAAAAATTAGTTAATAGAGGAAGTATAAGCTTGTGCAAGGATTTTTCTATAGGGTAACATAGAAGTTAGTATCGCACTGGTTCCCTTGTTTCAAAAGCCTATGGGATTTTTTCATTGGATTTTGGATTATTGCCGAAAATAAGCTTTTCAAATTGACTTTTCTCTCTTCATTGTCCACACTTACACACAAAATATGGTAACAATGAGCTATTTTTGAATGTTAGCATTGATTTCTCACATTGGATGTTGAAATATTTGTAGAAAGGTCTGACCTAAATGAATAAAGGTTGTAGTTAACGAAGCATATGAATATTAATATAGAAGGAGCACCCACTGAGCGCAGCTTCTTTTATTGATTGTTTGAACGTCGTCTGGTGGTCATTTTCAATTAGCCTAAAGGCCGACGTCTTGGCGACGTATTGGCAATGAGCAAACGTTTTCCCTGCTTCGTCTTAATGATCTAAACTTGATATATCGGGCTGACGTTGGCCAGATGTATGTGTGCTATCTGGGTCTGTGTCAAACAAACATTTATGATACTTGCACGTTTTAGATGCGAGATAATCTTCACAATTGAACACCACTTTTATGATTTTTTAAGCTTAAATATAGTCGCCAGAAGTAAAAAGCTAACGTGAGGCTATGTACGAACTACACCATATGGTCACATGACCTAACCTCACCACCATAACAAGACTGTAAAGCCGTGTTCGGTGTAGCTTGGTGTGACGACGTTCTGTAGTCTCATTTAGCCACTTGTTCGCAATCGCCTTTTTCAAGACGCATAGAATATTAAAAGTTCACGAGTGGGTATTTACTGACGTACTTTATATCATAGAACAAAATGTGAAAGTCTCTCAAGCTTGAGTTGACCACAGACGTTATTTCAGGCATCTAACCAAAAAGCTATTTAAAAAAACTCATTGACTCATTCCTTGGGTGCTAGTTCACAACACTGAAGAAACTACAGTACAGTGCTTTGCCCTACTGTAGCCAAAATTACAGCTAAGATTTTTTTATACCGAACAAATGCGTAACCTATGAGAAAATAAAACATAACATTAGCTAGTAAAATTAGCAGTAACTACAAAACATCTTAAAATCAAGCAGTTAGCATCCACCAAACAGCTACTGATAACATAGCGAGTATATGCTAACGCAGCGAGTACATATTAGCTAACGTGATAGATAGCCCCACTGACTGCTAAGCTAACTAGCCTAGCTTAGCAGTCATCTTTTGACCGTAGGGGAATTTGTGTATACTGTGTTTAAACTACTTTGGGCTAAGTATTTAAATGTGTAATGTGTGTAACTTTTTAAAATAACGCATAGAAAAATTATATAGAAGTTAAGCAGTACCCACCAAAAAGCTATAACAAGAAAGCTAACTATGTCAGTTAAGCTAGCTCATAAGCTAACGATAATCGTCAAATTTTCCTGACAGGTAAAAGAAAATGTTGCTCCAACATGTTAGTAATTCACTTTGTCGTACTGTGCCATATAAATTAGTCAGCAACTAATTGAAATGTAAAAAACATGATGAAGAAAAACGCTAATACAGCAAGCAGCTAACAGTATAGCCCCACTGAAAGCTAGGTAGCCTAGCTAAGCAGGCAGTTTTTGACCGTATTTGTGTTGTATGCTGTGATTGTACCAAGCAATTAGCACCCACCAAACAAGGAAGCTAACAATGACAAAAAAAGATGATCCAACAAGAAATTCACTGTTGTACTGTGCTACATAAATTCACAGGATGAATAAAGGCACAGGATGCAGGATAGACTGTATATCCTCCTACGCAGTTCATTATACTGTATATTCATGAAATACAAAGTGTAATATGTGTAATTTCCACCACCTTTTTATTGTACTTGTCAAAGCACCGTCTACAGAGAACAGCCTGAATTGCATTCACATGACAGGCTGCAGATAGCTGCTGTTATATGAAGGACAAAGTTCCCCTGAGAGATTTTAATGATGGAAAGTTGCGTTAGTTGCACCTGATGAGCTGTGTGTCTTTGCCTCTCCTAGAATCTCATCAACATCTCCAACGAGAACTATGTCCCAGTTCAGGTTGTGGACTTTACCATTCAGGGTCTGGTCTCTGAAGCAGTTGTGGGCAAAACCAAGATATCCAACATGACCGCCCTCAAGGCCCGCTCACAGAATTCGGTGAGTTTCACATGGGATGATTCACATCAAAATGTACTGATGATGTATTTGTCCTACAATTAATTTCTCTTTCGTCTTTTGCAGTACACTATGCAAATTGACCTGCCTCTCACCGATAAAGGCTTAAAGTAAGTGTGAAATATTGTGTGAAGATGATATAATACTATTATTATTGTCTGAACTCAGCACAGGTCCACACGTCAACTGCTTTTATCTCTTTCAGCACTTACTGCAAGTCGAGCTCTATCAAGATTCACACGTTATTTCTGGAGCTGCAGTAAGTGTCAATTTCTATCTGAAAATCAGCAGGCAGGAGGAGGCAGCAGCCACTTCACAGCATATCTCAAAACCACAGGGTATTTAAGGCAGGGTCACAAACCACAGCCGCAAAACAGGTTCTCTTAAAAAAACAAGGGTCAGATCTTCAAATCTGAAATGTTCTTTTCAGATAAAACTAAAAGACACGATAACACAGACACATGAAATTTCACTTCTGGTTTTTGGACTCCAAAAGTGGATTCTAACCACAAAAACGAACTCTGGCTTTTTAATATTCACTTCTGTTTTGTAAACACTTTCTGCTTGTGACCAGCTGCTTTGTACCTCAAATGTGGTCAAGAGTTTCCCCCGAAAGCATCTGAGTGAGTCACATTTGAACTCAAGATGCAAGTACATGAAAAGAAATGACAGCAAACCTTAACACAAACTGCACTAACCGAGGGACTTCCCAGTGCAACTACTTACCTAATTACATTACACTAATTTTGCAGATGCAAGTGGTAACATCAGAACCTGTCTGCATCGAGGTTACTTCTAATCAGCTTGTATTAAACCAGTGCAACAAAATTCGTATGCAAACCACGTAATAACAAGCCAGTAATTCCAATATAACCCACTTGAGTGGGAAGTTTGCGATCATGTGAAAAATGCGCTGACAGTGGTAAAAAAGGAAGTAGTATATAGAGGGAAAGTCCACATAACGAGGCAGGTTGGTGTGGTGAATGGGTCAAACAAATAGGACCGAGTTATTTAAAGGTACATCGTCATCATGTTTATTTTCCTGAACCCAACCTATGCAGCTTTGCCTAACTTAATCTAATCTACGTAACTTTACTTTCCTAAACCTAACCTAAGTAACTTTACATTCATTAACATAAGTAACTTTACTTTCCTAAATCTAACTGATGTAATTTTACTGTCTTGATCCTAACCTATGTAACTTTAGTTTACCTAAACTATGTAACGTTACTGTCCTAAACTTAACCTTACGTAACTTTAATGTCTTAAACTTCACCTAAGTAAAGTTACTTTCGTTAGCTTATGTAACTTTACTATCTTGATCCTAACTTATGTAACTTTAGTTGAGTTTACCTAACCTCCCTAAACCTAAGTATTTTACTTTTGTTAACCTAACTTACATAACTTTACTTTCCTAAACCTAACCTTATATAACTTTACTGTCTTAAACCTCACCTAAGTAAAGTTACTTTCTTTAGCTTACGTAACTTTACTATTTTGATCCTAACTTATGTAACTTTAGTTAAGTTTACCTAACCTACGTAACTTTACCTCCCTAAACCTAAGTATTTTACTTTTGTTAACCTAACTTACATTACTTTCCTAAACCTAAGTATTTTACTTTTGTTAACCTAATTTACATAACTTTACTTTCCTAAACCTAACCTAAGTATTTTACTTTTGTTAACCTAACTTACATAACTTTACCTCCCTAAACCTAAGTATTTTACTTTTGTTAACCTAACTTACATTACTTTACTTTCCTAAACCTAACCTAAGTATTTTACTTTTGTTAACCTAACTTACATTACTTTACTTTCCTAAACCTAACCTAAGTATTTTACTTTTGTTAACCTAACTTACATAACTTTACTTTCCTAAACCTAACCTAAGTATTTTACTTTTGTTAACCTAACCAACATAACTTTACTTTCAGTAACCTAACCTACGTCACTTTACTGTCCTAAACCTTATCTACGAAACTTGACGTGCCTAAAACTAAGCTATGTAACTTCACGTTGAGTATGTTACGTTGAGTACATAACTTTACTGTCTTGATCCTAATTTATGTGACTTTACTTTTGTTTACCTAACCTATGTAACTTTCCTGTCCTTAACTTGATCTATGTAAATTGACGTGCCTAAATGTAACCATTGTAACTTCACATTAAGCATGTTATGTTGAGTACATAACTTTACATTAAGTACAAAATGTGATCTTGCTCAACCATGTTTCTTTTCTTTGACCTATCCTTAGTATGTAACTTTACTTTCCTAAACCTGACCTACGTCATAACATCACCATTCATGGAGCACTTATTTGTTAGATACTATACAAACCGTGGTATATGCATTTACATAATATAAATATAAACCATTGCATGAGGACACTTTGATTAAACATATAAAACCTAGTAGAGGTCACAAAAAAGCTTCAGTAAACAGGTTGTTCTTCAGCCAACTGTACATACTGCAAACAAGCCACAATGAAATGTTGCAAACCACATTTTTCGCAGTATAATTTTGTTGTATACTGCACTACTTGTAATACCATTGTATTTATTTTTGCAGGGGGTTAAAAGAACAGTTGGATTTTGTTTATATGATAAAACTTGAAATTGCATTCATTTGGCCACTTGGGGGGCAGCAGAACAATCAGAAAACACAACACTGACTTATTATCATTTTTTAAAAGTTGTTATGGTGAAGAAAGCAGTTATTAACACACCAAGCAGACATATTGGCATACATGCAGAGTTGCATTTCTGTACTTTTAGCTCTGTTTTGGTCTCAACCAACTCTAAATAAAAATATCTGGCTCTTTTTGTAGGTCGGAAAACCAAAACAATTAAAAGACACTGGAACACTCTATATTACACGTAGCATTTGATCTTTTGTAAGAATAATGAATATAAGAAATATTTTTAGTGCAGCTTTAAAACTGTGAAAACACGTCGTCTCTAATAATGTTTTTTCATCTTCTCCCCCCAGAATGACGATGAATATTTCCTATCTCTCTCATGTGGAGCAGCTGTCTCTGGACACCTTCGAGTACATCGACTGTGGCACCAACTCAACAATCCCTCATCCTGTGAGATGATGAAATCCAAATGAAAAACACCAAAGTGGGAGTGTGAAATCATGAATATTCTGGCTGCATCGCACCCTTTCCCTCCTCTGTGTGGGATGTGACTTTGTGAATGACATCTACTGTACAAATGCATCTTATCCACTCATCCATGTCTTTTACTTAAGAAAAACTACCAGTGAAATAATGTTGAAATACCGAAGTAGATGAGCAACAAAACAAAGTACCAAGCAGCAGATAGTAAGTAAATGTACTTAGTTACATTCCACCACTGATCTTATTCTGTATGTTGTTTTAGCATACCTCAAGACTTTAACCAATCACTACAATGTAATTATTTTAAGATCAAGATGATTCAAGTATACTTATATCCTTAAATGAAGGTTTTATTGCTCTTATTTGATTGAGACCTGCCTGTATTTTGTTTGAAGATGTGTAAATTTCCTTAAAAATGTGACTCACTTAACAATGTTTTTGGGCAGGATGCCATATATTGTGTAAATAGGATGTTAATCTCTGATAATCTTTTGTCATTTGCACTTCATTAAACTGTGGCATTTAAAGTCCTGTATGGTAGATTGTCTGTTTTTAATATTTATTTTCCACTGGTGACTTTTGTAGACACTGCATGAGTCAAAACGGTGTGTACACACTCGCCCAGTTTAACCATGATAACTTTGTGATAGTCACTACCATTATGTATCCAGATATGTCACAATTTCTATTCATGTTTTGCAACGTAACTTTTGTAACCACACCAAAATGACCAAAAACAAAAGTAAGTAAAGGATATGAGTACTTCCATATCACAGAGTGCAGCTCGGATAACAAAACACGGTTTACAGCTTAAACCTTTGTCCTTCCGGGGTGAAACATCCAACAGCAACAATGTTGTTCCTATCTTTATATTCTTGAGCTCCAAATATCAATATATACATAGTAATACAGTAAATACAATTCATGTCCTCTTACACCCTTATTTTGCTGCAGCTCTTGAAGTTCTTGAGACTGGACACAGGGTGGAGCCAAAGCTCTGTTAGACTGAGAACGTAGACGAGTCACACTGGAAGATGCAGAGCTGGTGTCAACTGTGGCAAATTACTTGATTGTCTACCAAGCAAGAGTCCGTTAATTTATCCACTGAGGAACATGCTTGATATATGTTTGAACTGGTAACTTTTCAGATCAAGATTTTATACATCAAACATGGTCGATGACACAGCTCAAGTTTCTGAGGTTGTGTTTTTTTTTATCTCTTTCATTCATGTTGTTTCCTGTTTTACTCGTCTCGTTTCAGATCACTTCACTTCCTGCCCCTGTGTGTTTCCCCTCCCTTCTGATGACTTCACCTGTGTCTGATTGTCTGTCCCGCCCTGATTAGCCTCACCTGTGTCTCGTTATCCTTCCCCTCACCAGAGTATTTAGTGTGTGTCTTGTTTTCTCTCAGTGCCAGTTTGTCTTCTTGTGTGTCTAGCGTTCCAGTCTTTTGCTTCACAGTGTACTTTTCTTGGTTGTTTGGATTTATCCTGTTGATTGACTCTGCCTCTGCCTCATCCCTGCTGGATTTGTTTGCCTTCACTGGTAATCTGTGAACCAAACCTACTTTTGACCAGTAGAGACTGGTCTCCGGAGTGGTGCGTTTGAAACCACTCTCACCTGGTTCATCAGTTGTTACAGCTGACTTTTAAAATCCAGTATGCATTGTTAAAGATGAATGTACCAAACAGTATTTACAGATGTTAAAATCAGCTCTACCTGGACAAAATTCGGACCCTCGTGGAAATGAATCAGGAACAAAATTCTAATAATAAATACATGATAGGGGCATCTGTGGCTTAGTGGTAGAGCAGGCACCCCATGTACAAGGCTGGGGTTCGACTCCAGCCTGTGGCCCTTTGCTGCATGCCACTCCCTCTCTCTCTCCCCCTTTCACACTTGTCTGTCCTGTCCATTAAAGGCTAAAAATGCCCCAAAAAATATCCTAAATAAATAAATAAATACATGATAAATGTAAAACTTTAACTTTGTATTGCAGCACTTCCATAGTTAAACACACAATTAAGTTATAAGATATGCATTGTTGTAGATATGGATGGATTACTGAACAGTCCTACCAGGCACAGGCCCAGGAGCTCAGGGGAGGCCTCTGGCAGTGTCACTCGAAGAGCCCCGTACCGACCAGGAAGAGACTCAGAATGACAACAAAGAAATATTAAACGACCACAAGAGATGCCAAACAACTGCAAAGGTATGCAAAGCAACTACAAAGAGACACAAAATGAATTATATATGTCTTATGTTCCCATTGTGTTGATTGTAATGTTGAATGCATGTTTTAAAATGTTAATTTGCGTGGTCCCTAAGGTTTAATGTGTGTTATTAAATGTTTTTAAAGCTGTGCTTTAGGGCCCAGCTGATGAGGATCTTAACAAACAAACAAACAAACAAACATACAAAATGACTAAAAGAGACACAAAGCAGCTAGAGAGAGACACAAAACAACTACAAGAGAAACAGAGGACTAGAGAAAGGGGATAAACAACCAAAGACAGAAAACAAAGAGACACAAAATGACCACAAAGTTTCAAATAACCAAAAAGAGACACAAAACGACTACAGAGACTCAAAGAACGACCACAAAGTCTCAAAATGACCAAAGAGAGACACAAAACAACTACAGAGACTCAAACAATGACCACAAGGAGACACAAAGCAACTGCAAAGACACACAAAATGACTACAAAGAGACACAAAAGACCACAAAGAGACTCAAAATGACCACAAGGAGACACAAAACAACTATAAAGAGACACAAAAATGACCACATAGTCTGACAAAAGGACTACAAAAAGACACAATACAACTACAAAGAGACACAAAAAATGACCACAAAGTCTGACAAAAGGACTATTAAATGACACTAAACAACTACAAAGAGACACAAAATGACCACAAAGTCTGACAAAGAGACTACAAAAAGACTCTAAACAACTACAAAGAGACTCAAAATGACCACAAGGAGACACAAAACAACTACAGACACGAAAAATGACCACAAAGTCTGACAAAAGGACTACAAAAAGACACAAAACAACTACAAAGAGACACATAAACGACCACAAAGTCTGACAAAGAGACTACAAAAAGACACAAAACAACTACAAAGAGACACAAAATGACTTCAAAGAGACACAAAAAATGACCACAAAGTCTGACAAAAGTTCTACAAAATGACACTAAACAACTACAAAGAGACACAAAAGACCAAAAAGAGACACAAAATGGCCATAAAGACACACCAAATGACCTCGAAGTCTGACAAAACAACTACAAAGACACAAAACAACTACAAAAGTGCAAAACAACCATTGACAAAGACACTCCAAATGACTATGAAGAGACTTAAAATGACCACAAAGACACACAAAACAATTACAAGCAGATACATATCCACAGAGAGATTTGTCATGTCAACAAAGAGGTGCAAAATGACCACAAAAGAGGCGAAACGACCTAAAACAACCTAGTGGGGCCTTTTGCATGCCTGAGCTCATGACCCCATTGTCTCATAATCCGCCCATGGCTGTAGATTAAACTCCCCAAGTTAGTATGAAAGTATTAAAAAAATAACTTTGCTAAATACAGCATTAAAGAGCTGCTTATATGTTGATGCATCAGTAATTTAATGATATAAGACAGGATTTATATACTACAGTATTTCTGTGTTTTGAGATGGGCTCATACACACCGTGCAGTTCACCTCTGTACCAGCAGGGGGCGTGAAGTAACTTTTCAGGATGGCCGTGACGTCACCAGGGCTTTAGGTGCCGTGCGCTCGTGCCTCCCCGGAGCTCCTCAGTGCTGCCGGAGCAGAAGAGGAGCGGATGTGACCGCCGGGACAAACATCATCTGTTTACTATGGATGTGTTCATCGCTTGTGGATGATGATGATGATGATGATGATGATTCCTCCTCATGTTTAAAAAGGTATGAAGGCTTTTGTTTTTAATGCACAGACGAGGAGGACTGTTTATTATGCGCGTGATAGTCTGCATGCATTTTATATTAGTAGTGTTAACGGTGTTTGGTTATCCCTTAAAGTTCACCTCAAAGGATCTCGGTAGGATATTTTGAAGTTGTTTAATTTAATTGAACATTTGAAACAGTATATTAATAACATGCAATGCAAACTAGAGGGTTTCCTGCAGGAGAGGAGGAAAACTAAGGTGGCTGAGGTTGTTCCTAACATCCAGCCAAGTCATAAAAACATAAAATCAAGGAACATGACTGTGCATTTTTCCTTTACAAACAACACTCGATGAATGCTTCCCCTCGTGAGTAAATAGCCTGTCTTCCTGTAAACACGCAGTGTCTGTATTCTGTCCAAAGGCAGCTGTTTGATGGGTATCAGGATGTCAACAACAACCGGATTAGTGCTGCTGCAGCAGTCCTCATAGACACAGTGAATACATATCATCTATCCGCTGCACTGAAATCAATCTGCCCGCCAAGAAAAGCCCTTCAGGTTTAGCAGTGTTAAGAGGATTTAGGCTGTGGATAACCTCAGCCACCCAGTTAGCTGCTGTTACGCTCTGTAATGTGGCCAAGACCTTTTATTGTTTTATGTAACAGAATGTGAAGTTACTCAAGTGTGCAGCCACACTGAACAAATGCTTTGTGCTCACAGTGAGGTGATAACTTTGAGGGAATGCCATGCTGATTGAGTGAAATTACATCATCCTGAAGCCGCCATTGTCTCCTCATTAAATGTTAACTCTGTGTTTGTTTTGATAAGGTCTCCAGCACCGTCTGACCCCGCCAGGAACAAATGCCACTCAACTGAAAAAGGATTAAATCAGGAATCTGTCACCTCACCTAAGTAGGTGTGAGTTGCTGGCTGCAGCCATGGGGAACCAGCTGACTGATATCGCTCCGAACACGTCCTTCCTGCCAAACTTCCAGTGTTTGCATGTGGTGGTGATCGGGCTGGACTCGGCGGGGAAGACGTCTCTGCTCTACAGGCTCAAACTGAAGGAGTTCGTGAAGACGATCCCCACCAAGGGCTTCAACACGGAGAAGATCAAGGTGGCCGTGGGGACGTCTCGGACCATTAACTTCCAGGTGTGGGACGTAGGCGGCCAGGAGAAGCTGCGCCCACTGTGGAAGTCCTACACCCGGCGGACAGACGGGATGGTGTTTGTGGTGGACTCCACCGAGCTGGAGCGGATGGAGGAGGCCAAAGTGGAGCTCCACAAGATCACCCGCACCTCAGAGAACCAGGGCGTCCCCGTGCTCATACTGGCCAACAAACAGGACCTGGATTCAGCCATGTCTGTCAGCGAGGTGGAGAAGCTGCTCTCCGTGCACGAACTGAGCATGTACACGCTGCATCACGTGCAGAGCTGCAGTGCGGTGGACGGCCAGGGGCTCCAGCCGGGCCTGGAGAAACTGTACGAGATGATCCTGAAGAGGAAGAAGATGGTGAAGCACAACAGGAGCAGGAAGAGATGAACTCTTGGCTCACGCTGTGGAGACACGAGGAGATTTATCCACGGTTGAGACACTT